GAATAGCTGCCTGAGTTCAGCCAGTTTGTGTCTCAGGCTGTTAGTGTTCAGATGAAAAATATGTAGTCCATTTTTGTTGCTTAAATGCACAATGTCGTCAGCTTGCAGATATTTGTCTTTGTCCGTTACAGCAACCGGCTTGTCGTGGTGGGGTGGTGGTGGTGGTGGTGGGGGGAGGGAGGCTCCTTTGCTAGCAGGGTGGCTAACAACATGGCTAACAACATGGCGGATATTTGTTCCCTCGGATCTTGGTTCTCTTCCTCTCGTCACTGCCTCATGCGTGTCTGTCTGCCGAGGCGTCCCCGGGGGAATCTCGAAGTCTCCGTTTATTCCTTGGCCTTTGCTTCCAGCTGTCAGATTATAAACAAAGTCACGTGACTGGAGGCAGATGAAAGCGCTGACAAGTTGTGTTTTTATCGCAGTGAGACGCTACAATACTAATTGTGGGTTTATCATGTTTATTCGGTCACAATCAGTGGTGTAGTGGGCGTTGGATGCGGGGGTACGCCGTACCCCCACTTATTTGGAGCATGATCTTTTTTTTAATAGTCTAATAAATATAAAATCATTGCCAGTCTTATCAGTTGCAAGTGTCTATTTGTTGTAATAATGACAAAAACATAATACATTTCACAGTAATGGCCTATAATAAAAAATAAAAACGATTTCCTTCAAAAATGATGATTCGTCATCACGCTCTGACCCTGTGGCGAGCTGGGGGTGTGTCAGTGACACACCCACGGCCAGCTCACCGCCCGCCGATTTTGCGGCAGCTCTTTCCCTCAAGAACGCTAACGAAAAAGCTCTATAATGGAAGGAAAAACGTTTTTTACTTGACTTCTTTTCTAAAAAGAATATAATTCACAAGAAGAAAGAGGCTAGCAGCACCGAAGCTACAAGTGAAGCTGCTACTAGTACTACATCATCAGAAGAGCCGCCTAAAGACGTGGATAATGCTAGCTAACGTGCACGTTAGCTGCGCTAGCAACGTTCCCCTGGCTATCTCAAGTTCACCTTTCCCAGAGGTATGGACGGAGGAGATGTGGCGGAGGAAACAAGAGGCATGCCCGTGGATAGACTGCAAAGCTGGGAAACTGGGCTGCTGTTCATCCATTTTAGTCTTCAAAACGCAAGGTGTGTGTGTGTGTGTGTGTATGTGTGTGTGTGTGTGTGTGTGTGTGTGTGTGTGTGTGTGTGTGTGTGGTGTGTGTGTGTGTGTGTGTGTGTGTGTGTGTGTGTGTGTGTGTGTGTGTGTGTGTGTGTGTGTGTGTGTGTGTGTGTTGTGTGTGTGTGTGTGTGTGTGTGTGTGTGTGTGTGTGTGTGTGTGTGTGTGTGTGTGTGTGTGTGTGTGTGTGTGTGTGTGTGTGTGTGTGTGTGAGTGAGAAGCAGCGCTGTCTGCTTATTTGCAATGTAGGCTAGGCCTAATCAGCATAATTTCAAGTCCAGATTCAATGTTTGCATTAGTAGGCTATATTTTTCGTTTCGTTTATTTAATAAGTTAATTTCAGGACAACTTTGGGAACTTTTTTTGTTTGTTATGAGTTTTAAATAGATTTTGAAAGTGGAGATAGAGAGAAGCAGCGCTGTCTGCTTAGTTGTAGCTTATGCAATTTAGGCCTATAAATTGTTGTAACGTATGTGCCAGTGTGTCCATGGTTTTGAGTCTATGTGTGTGTTGAGTGCAGCGCCGTCTGCTTTTTGTGGTACTTGTGTGGCATTGTTTGGGATGCCCTAATTAAAATAGCGTCCCCCCCAGTAAAAAAATCCCCACTACACCACTGGTCACAATAGACCCTCTTTGTGTTTGTACACAATGATGACGTAGAACGTATGCGCGCGCATGGTGGCAACAGAAGAATGGCAGAGATAAACAGCTTGTCAAACTACGCAAGGGGATTATCAACTAAAGATCGTGAATGTTACCTTAACAAGTTGACTTTGACAAATGGTGTCCGACTTCCAGATCCGTGTTCTATTGATGAGTGGGTTGAAGACGTTAGCAAGTGGCCGAATATACCTATTTAATTGAGAAACCGAGCGTGTACACCAGAGAGAAATTACGAGCCTATAAGTCACTGGATGGCTGCTTACGAATACGTTGTCTGTGGTCATGTACAGAACGTCAAATACCATGACATAGACTCAGAGTTTTGTATTTTGAGATCAGAAATTCTCCCTAGTCAAAGACAAGGACACAAGACAACGATGTATGAGGCTTGGGTTATAATCAACCAACGAGAAAACTACGTCCTCCTCACAGCGAATTGCACCTGTATGGCGGGGTAAGTAGCCTATTATTTGGTGTTGTGGGCTTGTAGGTAACAGTTCAGGGGTGTGTTACTGTCCTTTCAGCTGGCTATTACTCTCCTTTCCATATCAAAAATCGTATGCCTTGCCCTGTAACTTTCTCATCATAACCAGGGTTTGAAACTAACATTTTCATGAACAACAACACAGTGACAACAGGGTTCAAAATGTCAGCAGCCAATATCATTCAGTTACATTCAAAACCTGATTAAGCTTAGGATACTTACTCACATGTCTAGTAAGTTAGATGTTTACCTACTTCATAGCCAGAGCCGAGATTTGTCTGAGAGCAAATGTTACTTTCAAGCCCAGTATGTTTATTATGATTTAGTGAAATTTCAGGCTTGGGTCATGCTGCAGCCATGCTGCTGCAATATTATTCAAAGTTGAGCTCTATGTTAGGATGGGAAGGACAGAGAAAGCAGTGGTTACTTCTGGAGTGTGCATGTGGAAAGACATCAGCAGGAAAGAAGTCAGACCAGCTCCATTGAGGGAAATCAGCTTCCACAAACCAAAGAGGCTTGGCAGGCAACTTCCAGCAGCTTCAACATCTGCTAGGAAGAATAGTATCACACCCAGAGGCATGTAATAGTTGACAGAGCCTAGATAAGTTTCCTTTTGCCATAGTGCATTTAATTAATTCTCAGGATTTCTCCTCAGTGTTTTGACACCATAATGTAGCCTGAGAAAGGTGTTACTTGGTGATGCAGAGATGAAAAGGCCTACAGACCAACGTGGCATCATGACTTTTTGTAAACATACACGCTCAGTTTGAATAGTTTCAGTATCATTTGTTATGTTAGTTTGAATATGTCTGTCCTTTTGTCTTCAGATTACTGATTCTAGAAATTCGATTGTTTGTTATCTACAGTTTAACTGGTCTGGTTTTAGAATAATTCAGTCATTATTCTTAAAATGTGAACATTATGCAGCACACTAATTGTGTCTTTTTGTTGCTCTATTATCAGTGTTGACAGATGATGACATCCGGGAACTGCGGGATGTGGACCCAGGTGCTGCAGTGCTGACGAGCCTGGAAAACAGTGACACGGACACTGCATCGTCTGACACTGATTCAGAGGAGCATCCAGACTTACCTGAGCCCTTGACTGCTTTATTTGATGCAACACTACGGGAACTCTCACCACAGGAAATGGAGGTGAAATGTGAGGATACATTTCACAAACTAAAAACTACACTACAACCTCAACAATGTGAGAAACTGGAATTTGTGACACGGAAACAGTCAAGGTCAAATGAGTGGCACACCTATAGGGCTGGTCGGATCACAAGCACCAAATTTCACCATGCAGCCACAACTGACAAGATCAGCAAAACATACCTAAATGATATAATGCAGTACAACAAAACAGAGTTAAATGTCCCATCTGTGCTCTGGGGTCAAAACATGGAGGAAACGGCAAGACAAGCCTACACTGCATTTATGTCCCAAAGCCATCCAGATTTCAGCATCAGCTCATGTGGCTTAGTAGTGCAACCTTCTGAGCCACACCTTGGATCATCGCCAGATGGGATAGCAAGATGTACCTGCTGTGGCAAAGGGGTGGTAGAGATAAAATGTCCCTACAAATACAGGAATAGCCTTCAAGGATGTTCAGAAGACAAGCAGTTTTGTCTGGACAAGTCATTCTCGTTGAAACATTCACACACATACTACTATCAAACTCACATGTTTGTGTGTGGTGTTAGCTACTGTGACTTTGTGTTGTGGACTAAGGAGAAGTTCATTGTGCAACGTATCCTAAGAAATGAAGAGTTTCTGCAGGAGGCTTTGCCAAAAGCACATCACTTCTTTAGCTTGAGTGTGTTGCCTGAATTACTGACAAGAAGACATGATCCTGTCTTGGTGTCACAGAGAGCCTGCGAATACTGTGAAAGACCAGATTTTGGTAAAATGATAATCTGTGTCAAATGCAACAACCACATTCACTACAGTTGTACACACATAAAAAGGAAGCCAGCAACATGGTTATGTAGGAAATGTCAGAGTTGAGGCTTGAATGCCTTCATGTAGGAGTGGGCAATATAATGTATTGTATTGTGATAGGAGACCAGATATGGTGTTAGATGTCAGTTATGGATTGTCTTTCCCTGGTTGTTAAAGTTGCATTACAGTTGAAACAATGAATTCATCATCAGCCTTTTCTTTACATTTGATGTTGTTATTGACAGCTGTGTCTAGATGCACTTCAGTGCAACAAGATATTTTAAGTTGTATTCTGTAATGCTATATATGTATCCATAGAGATAATTTGCGACCTAAAATTATTATTTACTGTTTACAACATACAGAACCAGTTTGATTCTAATATATTGTACATACTCCTACTTTCCATGTTGTTAATGTTTAGTGGCACTTTAATGGCACCTGAATGGAATGAAACTCTGTTAGTAACAACATTACAAATAAATGTGATACTGCACTCTGAATTGTTGAGATAATCTGGGGGGGAAAGGACCATTAGACACACCAGTAGCAGCCAATGTGGGGAGGTTTATTAAAATGCATTACATTTTAAGTACAGTAGGCCTATATACATGTTTTACAAATGTAAAATCACTTTATAAGTCATACATGGTTATGTGTAACTCATTTGGGACCAACACTCTTTCAGAGGTTTGTGAGGGCACCACATACAATAACAACATCATCTAGTATGTCAACCTGCGACAAAGGAATAACTGTTTGTAAAATCTTAAAGTTTTTCCACCAACCAATAACTCGCTCAACATGGATCCTCACACGAGAAAGTTGTCTAGATGTGTCCACTTCCTGTGCAGAAAGCTGCTTCTTTCCTTTTGTGAAATGAGGGATACGAAGGGTTGCCCCATAGGCCGCAAGCTCGTCTCTGATGAGAAATCCTTTGTCTGCTAAAACCTCATCCCTAGGCTCCAAAAGTTTGAGGAAACCTGACTCCTTAGTGATCTGCTTGTCTGATACCCGTCCACCCCACCCAGGAGACAGAAATGAAATTGCACCAGCAGGAGTGATGCCGATCAAATATTTAATGGTGTTGTTGTGTTTATAGTTTGACCATGTCTGGGCCCTGGAAGTCAGATTACTGGGTCTAGCTATGTTAATTTCTGTGCAATCTATTATGCACCGGCATCTTCTAAAGTTGCGCTTGAATATTTTTAAGTACTGCACCCTTACTTGGCCATTTAATGAGTGGCTTGAGGACCAAGGCCATAGCAGGGACCCAGCTCCGCAAAATATTTGATAAGGTGGTTTTTGATACCTGAAATCTATAAGCCAAGTCAGTATTACATAGGCCCAACCTTAATTTCATCAATATAATCAATAGGTGGTCCTCTACTGTAAGTTTGTTGTGAATTCTTTCTACGCTGCCCATCATTTTTGTAATCAGCCACTCAAAGACCACAGAGGTCAGTCCTGTGAGAAAAATCAATTGTCCAATGTTGCACTTAACAGTGGTGTAGGAGAATGTAGATTTTTGCAGCTCCTCTTTCAGTTTTACATTTTCTGCTCGTAGTGTGTCAAACTCCTGTCGCAGGTTGACATATTCCTCCTGAAGTTGACTGTATCTCAGGTTCAGATCATCGTACTCTCTCTTTGGAACTGGGATATCCTCTTCAGCTTTAATATAGAAAAGTGAAAAATTAGCATGTGCTGCAACCAATGCAAACAAGTTCACAATTCAGAGGTTCTCACACATTTTTACCAATGAATTTTCAAAACTTTTCCATGACAGAAGAGAAGATACATTATTGATCCTAGGGGGAGATTTTTCCTCTGCATTTGACCCATCCAGGGGCCAGTGTACACGTCACACACAGACATACATAGCAATTGGAGCAGTGGGCCTGGCAGGAGCACACACACACTAGGAGCACACTGACTCTTTCAGTGAGGGTGGGAACCCTGACAATCAATCAGTTAATTGTAAGATGATATATTCATAAATATATTCATACCAGGACAATGATCCATGCTGCATTCTTGTTCTGGAGTTTCAGAAGTAACACGTTGATTTGCTGCAGTGTCAGCTCTCCTCCTTTTCCTATGGCACCTACAGTATCAGCAGAAATGTATAGTTAGACTAATCCATATCTCAAAACAGCAGCTGTAGGCACCAAAGCTTATGCAAGAGAGGAAAACAAAACAAAAAATGACTGAGAGGAGGGCAACTCTAATCTTACCTGTCCATCTTTGCATTTGGGTTCTGGCTTTGTTTTGTGTACATGAACAAAGATGGCACAAAATCAGGACTACTAGAGTCCAATGATGCCTCGCCTGCAAAAATAAAACACAAACACGTTTGTTTAGCCTAGCAAGCTACTAGGCAAATCTAACGCCAGCTTATCAAACTTTAGCTGCATTTGATTATTATTCTACATCATACAGACAATCACTAATGTAAACAAGGCTTTCCCGTAAAATCAAAGAGTAGGCTAGATAACCTCATTACCTGATATAAAGTGGGCGCTGCAGACGCGAGCATTTTTGATTATGTCCTCATTCCAGTCCACACGTTTAATCGCCTGCAGCCACAGACGCCGCCGGTTGCTCTGAAATGGTCGTGGTCCTCTCGGAATCCTATACAACTTTAGTCCGCCGGTGGAATAGCGATTCGTACAACCGTATACGCAACAACCAGACATGTTGATGCTGGGTACAGTTTGTAAATGCTTGCTAACCAGTTGCTACCTCGTCTTTGTCATTCAGAACTGCTGGAAAACAACACCACTTCCGTTGCCCGCATGCGCGCGCAACTTTTTGATGACGTCGGCTGTAAAAGGGTCTATAGAAAACAACAAAAACTCTCGCTCTCTCCAGGAGTGGAGTGCACCAGCTGGGCGTAAAAAAGTAGGGCTTAACTCTAACGTCGGGCTTAGCTACGTCCGACTTAGTGATTCGAATTTACACCGAGTGCACCAAGCCTGACAAGTCTCGGGCGTAGCTGCGCCTGGTCTTAAGATGCGCGTCCACGTGAATACACGCGAAACAGTAATTGTTGCCAAGCAATGCCATTTTACCATTTTACAGACTCAGAGGACCGCAGAGAAGAGGGAATTCCCACACCCACAGCGTCAGCGATGACTCAAGGGGAATCCCAAATGGCCCCCCCCCCCCGAAAGAGAAAGAGGGATTTGTCAGAGCTACAGCGGGAACTGACGGAGAAATAAATCGGTGCTGGAGGGCCAATGAAACTTGTCTTATAGCCCGACATGCAGTTGTGCGATGAACATGAATCATGTCTCCCACAGTATTTTGAATGGCCCCGTTCACGTAGAATCTGAGCGCAATCAGCACCTGCAAGGTTGGGGAGAGTGCAGCGTTTCGATCTGATCCGTGCTGGAGTTGAGGGGAGATCTGGGTGTGACCCTAGATAACAACCTGTCCTTCACTGCAAACATCACTGCTACAACCCGCTGCTGCAGATACACGCTTTACAACATCAGGAGGATGCATCCCCAGCTGACCCAGAAAGCGACGCAGGTTCTGGTCCAGGCTCTCGTCATCTCACGCCTAGACTACTGCAACTCCCTCCTGGCTGGTCTACCTGCATGTGCCATCCGACCTCTGCAGCTCATCCAGAATGCAGCTGCTCGCCTGGTCTTCAACCTTCCTAAATTCTCCCACACCACGACGCTCCTCCGCTGCCTTCACTGGCTTCCGATAACTGCTAGAATCCACTTCAAGACAATGGTACTTGCGTACCATGCTGCGAATGGATCTGGCCCTTCGTACATCCAGGACATGGTTAAACCGTACACCCCAGCACGTGCACTCCGCTCTGCATCAACCAAACGGCTCGCTGCACCCTCGCTGCGAAGGGGACCCAAGTTCCCATCAGCAAAAACACGTGGGTTTGCTATCCTGGCTCCAAAATGGTGGAATGAGCTCCCCATTGACATCAGGACAGCAGATAGCTTACACACCTTCCGGCGCAGACTGAAAACTCATCTCTTTCGACTCCACTTCGAGCAATATAACTATTAACAAAGCACTTATATACTAATAAAGGGCTGGCTTATCTAAAGCCAGTTGAGTAGCACTTGAAATGTTTTTGCTCTATGAAGCCTGATGTACTTATATGATTCTGTTTTCTTCAAGTTTGTATTTTGTTGGTCGAACGCACTTATTGTAAGTCGCTTTGGATAAAAGCGTCAGCTAAATGCAATGTAATGTAATGTAACCTCCTCGATTAAATCAAAAAGGGCTTGTCTGCCGAAACGAAACCTCTCTATCAGTTCACTGTCTGAATAGATGTCCAGTGGGTTTGTTCGATCACGGACGACTCTCTCTCTTCTTAATGCCCTTTCATACATGTAAACAAGACGCCATGCCATCGTTAATATCCTTCTTGCCTGTTTTACGTTACTATGCATACTAGTCTGTCTTTCCGATTTACGCCTGCTCCATACTAGGCGTAAAAGTTACACCCGGGCGCAACGAATACAGGGCTTAAGTCTATGTGGTGCACTAGTCATAACTTTAGTTTGGTCTTAACCTTCGGGTCGGACGTAGAGTTACGCCCAGTTTACGCCCAGCTGGTGCACTCCACTCCTGGAGTGGAGTGCACCAGCTGGGCGTAAAAAAGTAGGGCTTAACTCTCGGGCTTAGCTACGTCCGACGTAGTGATTCTAATTTACACAGAGTGCACCAAGCCTGACTAGTCTCGGGCGTAGCTGCGCCTGGTCTTAAGATGCGCGTCCACGTGAATACACGCGAAACAGTAATTGTTGCCAAGCAACGCCATTTTACCATTTTACAGACTCAGAGGACCGCAGAGAAGAGGGAATTCCCACACCCACAGCGTCAGCGATGACTAAAGGGGAATCCCAAATGGCCACACCCCGAAAGAGAAAGAGGGATTTGTCAGAGCTACAGCGGGAACTGACGGAGAAATAAATCGGTGCTGGAGGGCCAATGAAACTTGTCTTATAGCCCGACATGCAGTTGTGCGATGAACATTAATCATGTCTCCCACAGTATTTTGAAAGGCCCCGTTCACGTAGAATCTGAGCGCAATCAGCACCTGCAAGGTTGGGGAGAGCGCAGCGTTTCGATCTGATCCGTGCTGGAGTTGAGGGGAGATCTCCTCGATTAAATCAAAAAGGGCTTGTCTGCCGAAACGAAACCTCTCTATCAGTTCACTGTCTGAATAGATGTCCAGTGGGTTTGTTCGATCACGGACGACTCTTTCTCTTCTTAATGCCCTTTCATTCATGTAAACAAGACGCCATGCCATCGTTAATATCCTTCTTGACTGTTTTATGTTACTATGGATACTAGTCTGTCTTTCCGATTTACGCCTGCTCCATACTAGGCGTAAAAGTTACACCCGGGCGCAACGCATACAGGGCTTAAAGAGCCTGTGACACGAGTTTCCCCCATCATCCAAACATCATCCAAACATCCAATTTGAGTAAATATTGTCCCCTTAAAAACCGTTACTGAACTGATTTTGGATATTTGTACTTTGATAACCATTAATCTGCCCTTCAATGTTGACCATTTTATGGATCTTCTCGGGGATTCTTCAAGTCCCGCCAAATTATGTGTGACGTCATTGCGGGCACAGTGCACCAGCTGCACCATTCAGGATCCCAGCATCTGCATGTAAACGCACGATGGTGCACACAGCAGCAAGCTCAGACAGCGATGACAGTTTAATTTTGAACGTGTCTGAGAGCTCATATGAGGCTGAAGGATCGCTTTATGTTGTATCTGTTAGAAGTTTAGGAATTAGGTGCGTCAATATGGGCGATCATACGGTCATGTAGCCAGTGGTGGAATGGGACTAAAAATCATCCCGGAACTCTCGACCGGCCCACTTCGGTACCGCTAGTAAATTGTCAACGGGGGGAGTGGGGGATGTCAGGGGCGGCGGGTGCTGTAGGCTAGGGAAGGCTAAGCAGTCCCAAATATTTGTGTCACTGCATCCTGGTAAAATATATAATGTATAATGTCTGTGTCTTTGACATTAGCGCTGCTAGCCACCTGTGCCCTGTACTACGAAGCCAGTTCAACATACCCTGGATATGTTTGAGTAACAAACAAACTAACAACAACAAACTAACAATCAAGATCTCGCTAAGCGGTCCTACGACGCTGGTTATCAACTCGGTAAATCAAGCCAGGGTTTCTCTCACCAGCTGAGAGCGCGTTCACGGGGGCGGGGTTAGCTACATTTGACCAATCACAAACAAGGACAAGTGTACTGACAGCGCAGCGTCATACTTCATTAATGAAAAGTAAACTAATATTAGACAAATATGAGCTTTAAACATCCATGACTTAAACATATAATCCAGGATATGCAGTGCTGGAATTGGGCCGGTACTCACCGGTACGCAGTACCGGCACTTCTGGTTCTGACCCATGGAGTACCGGCACTTCTTGCTCAGTACCGGCATGCTGGCGGTACTCCGGTACTCATGCACCGTGCCAGTACTCAACACTCTCCCGCCGTTCTTATTATACATCCATATATATATACAGCCGCCCGGTACTCAGTAGATGCGTCATGAGGTGCCGAACGGACATTCTCATCGCTCTAACCGCTGGAGTTTCACAGCGGCTGTCAGCTGTTTACTCCTGTCATTCAAACAGAACGTGCTGGAGAGGGGGCGGGGCTTATCTTCTCCATGTAAATACTGTGGTGGAAACGACTATGTCAAAATTAACCTATTTGACCGTGATTTAATAGTAATACACGTTTCAAAATAATAATAATAATAATAATGCCGAAGTAACAACATACTGAAAACTGTTAGTAAAACCATGTTTTAATGCTTTACAATTTACATACCTAGATGCACGTGTGTTGTGTTTATGCAGTGCAACTCCCACCCAGTGGGTGGCTATGTAGAGTGATAGAACAGAGCAGGCACGCCCCCGAGAGAAGGAAAGCAAGTCACGTCACAAATTAGCATTTCTAAAATGTTAGCGTGGATTAATAAAAGTGCAAAAAGACAGCGGTTGTCGCCGGAAGAAACTTCAAATACAGAGAATGCTGTGCCTGTGTTGGAAATTGTGTCTGATGGGGAGCTTTCTTTGGTTGATCCTCCTGCTCCAAGTTATAGTGCATTAGCATTAGCACTAGCTCCGCCGCCTCCTCCAGAGCCTCTAACGTTAGCCAATGCATGGCTCCTTCTTAAAGATAAGAAGCTAGGATGTCGGATATGCAGAGATGTCACATCTTTGGGAATACACACTGGACAAGGACTGAAACTGTCAACTGAATGGGGTGAGTGTGCAGTGTCTCATTTCGGTGTTGACAAGGGCAAACAACAAGCTAGCCTGAGAAAAAAAATCAAAGAACATAAAGAATCACAAGCCCATGTAAAAGCTGCTGACATCCTTACATCTGCTTCACGTGAAACTATTCAACATCAAGTGCAGTCTATGCATAAATCTGAATTAGACACCACTATCAGAGTTTTTCGAATGGCATATACAATTGGCAAACATAGCCGGCCATTCACAGACATGCCAATTGATTTGAATGTACAGAAACTGAATGGGCTGAACGTGGGCAGGGTTTTGCACTCCAATAAAACCTGTGGCGAAATCATCGACCACATAGCTCATGAGCTGAAGAAAAAAATGGCAAAAGACATTACAGAAAACCAAAGAAAACTCTGTGTTTTGGTCGATGAATCTACCACTATTAGTGGTAAAACGGTGCTTGTTGTGTGTCTACGCTCAGCATTAGCTGATGCTGAGCCCGAAACGTTTTTTTGGGAGCTGATCGAGTTGGATGGAACAA